GGAAATCACAAATTACAGAAATATATCTCAGGAGATATATGAAATACATCGGAGGAGATGGCTTTTCAGTGGCACCCCAATCTGGCTAGACTGATCTTTGCGTCATTGATTCATGATCCGCGCACGTGACTTCGCGAGATGGCCGCGTGGCGATTCCAAGGCAGGGACGGTTGGCATCAACTGTGTTGAGCTTGCAAGAGCATATTCCTATTTTGGAGTGCACTATAACACGCGAAATTCAATTCGACCCTTGAAACTAATCTGGCGATTTAGTCCCGCGAAATGGTGAGAAGAAAGCGAGATGCGCCAACGGAGAGCAGCCCGAGGACGACGCGCTCAAGCACAAGAGTAGCCACGCGAGGTGCAGCGAGACGGACCGCTGCAGGTCGTGATGGCGCTGTTCCAGACATTGTGCGCCAGATGGTGGTCGAGGCGAGATCCGAATTGAGGGCTCAAGACGCTCATGTTTCGGAACGACCCTTGAAGCGCAGGCGTCCAGGAGAGGGGCGACCGGCGAGATCTGAGACGCCAAAAACCAAGGCCGCCAAAGACATCAGCAGCGAATCCAGCAAAGTTATTGTCGGCGATGCTTCCGATGATAACCTCCGGTTTGAGGATGTTGTATTACCAACGCCCACGGTGCAAACCATGACAAGGGATTCAGACGAAGAGGACGATGACGACATCGACTTTGAAGATGTAGCGATCGAGGCCAACGAGCCGTCGGCGACAGTGGTAAGCAAAGAGCCTCGGGTGCTAGATCTGGACCTGTCCGCGCACATGGCCTTGGCGCCGCGCCGCGCAGACCGTCGCAAAGCCATCAGCAAAGAAGAGAAAGATCGCCGTGTCGAGATCCATAAGATGCATCTCGTCTGCCTCCTGGCGCACGTGGAGCTGAGAAACCGGTGGTGTAACGATCGCAGTGTCCAGGATGCGCTTCGGCCGCTGCTGCCCGAGAAGACGGTGTCTGCCTTGTTACCCAGGGCTAGCCTGAACCAGTTTGGGCGTTCAGAGTCGTTGAGGAAGGGTCTCCAGGAAGCGAAGGAGTTGTTCAAGCTCAATTTTACCATCACGGAAAGAGGGATACGGAGGGCGCTCTGGGCAGAGGACGAAGAACAGTTGAAAGACGTATGTAGGTGCCACGGACGCCCCCTCTGGGCTAGGCTAATACACTCAATAGTATCAACTTCCGGATGATATCGAGTCCACGCTGGACAAGAGTGATTTCCTCGAAGCGGCCAAGACGCTGCAAGGTTCCCGCGATGTCGGTGCACAGCTTTTTTGCTCTTTACTGCGATCCGTTGGAGTGGAAGCTCGACTTGTCTGTTCCCTCCAACCTCTGTCTTTCGTTCCTGGAGCCCCTACAATGCCGAAACAACGGAAAGTACAAACACAAACACCACAGAAGCAGCCATCCAAGTTCGAGATTTACGCAGCAGCAGTGGCAAAGCACGAGACCAAGTACCCTGAATTCCAGGCTGGCGCTACGACCCCCTCTCCCCGCCGACGGCTCGGCCACCCGCACGCCTCCGCCTACCACCCCCCATCCATGACCGCACCCTCTCACGCGCCCTCTACGTCCGCATCACGTGTCGCAAACCCCCAAAACCATCCGCGGCGAGTCTGCCTTCCCCGTATACTGGGTCGAAGTCCTCGATGTCGCCCACCAGAGCTGGCACCCCGTCGACCCGCTCGTGACTGGCACGCCAATGGAAGCCCCGCGCCCTCGAACCGCCCGCCTCCGACACCCTCAACACACTCACCTACGCCATCGCCTTCGAAGCCGACGCCAGCGCCCGCGACGTCACGCGCCGCTATGCCAAAGCGTACACCTCCAAGACCCGCCGCCAGCGCATCGACGGCCTCCCCACCCCCACCCTCCCGACCACCATCACGGGTAGATGAGGCCCTGCTCTAATTATGCGGTCGTCATGAACCACATCGTGGGCGGCGGAGTTAGCCAGCTTCGCAACCATGCTGCGTCATGTGGTGCCTTGGGAGTCGCCCCGCCCCTGGTCGAGTTAGGACATCTTCTAGGCGATGGCGAGACGCGCTCGGACGGACGGATTTAACGGAACTCGTAAAAGGTTCTCCAGCAATCCACGACACTAATCCATT